TAATTACATTCTTTCTTTTTCAATTAAATTTTCTTCAATTTTTAGATAGTATTGCTTTAAAAGGACACATTTTTTTCATTTAATTTTCAGAAAGTGTGTGCATTTTTCTCTCTTTAATTTTATTTTTTATTTCTTAATATTTTTTTTTAAATTTTTAGGTTTTCTTGTTTTAATGTTTTTTAATTTCATTTAGGTTTTGAAAATTTATTTTCTGTTTTTTAATTTATAGATGTTATTGTTCTTGAAAATAATATTATTTTAAGCTTCAATTAATTTTTAGGGAGTATTTTTTTATTTTATTTTTTTTTTCATTTAATTTTCAGGCACTAATTTATTTTTTTCCATATTTTTTTAATCTAATTTTCATTTAATGACTACATTTTATTGTTTTAAAAAGATTTTTTTTTTAACTACATTTAGCTTTTAGAAAGTTTTTTTATTTCTTTTTTGTCTTAATGCTTTTTTTCTTTTTACGATTTTAGTTTTAAAAAGAAAACTATATTTGTTTAGTTTAATTTAATTTTTAGAAAGCTTATTTGCTAAAATACAAAGAGAATAACGCTAAAACCTCTTCTACTTACGAAAGCCTTTTTGGTGATTTGAAAGACGGTTTGCCGGAATTGGCCTTTAAGTGTGCCTATAGAATAGTCCAGAAAAGCCTTTGCCCAAAAATAACCCGCAAGGTTGGGTTGATAGTTTTTTTTTTAATTTCCATGGTACGATCCGCTCCCGATTCCTTCAGCTATGTGAAACAATAAATAGGGAATCTTAATGAAACCTACTGAAGTGAAGAAATGTCATCCCAAGAGACCGGGCTATACCCAAGCTCTGTATTTAACTGACCAGACCACGTCTGACTTTTTCCTGTTCCAACGTCTCGAGGTAGCGATCTTTGTATAGACGTTTTTAATAATTTAACCAATAAAGAAAGGAAACTTCACAGTAGGAGCTGAAGACGATTTCCAAATTAATCTAAGAGAAATTTTTTAAAGAAGAAGCAATTGAAATTTGAAATTTGGAAACAATATACTTTAAGGTAAGTACATAAAACCATAGCAGTGTCATTCCAGCGAAGACGTTTAAATCTGTGAAAACAGCCCCACCATGAAAAACATCAGAAATAGGCAACAATCGTCAATGGCAACAAATTCACGACTCGCCGATTTATTGCCGGGGTCACAAATAGGCATGTCCTAACCATAACTTTGGAATGCCTCACCTGTAAAAATTAAACCAATTTTGTTTTGTATTTGTATTTTTAGGACACCAGGCATATAATCAATTATATAAATAGGCAATCATGTTCCCTTTACACCCCTTTTACGGCTAAACTATACTTCTAAGGTATAAACAATTATATATCATTAGAAAGGTATTTTGATGCTAATGTGCAGGCAATTTTTAAAATTTCAAATTAGTTTAAAATAGAGCGAAAAAATCAATTCAAAAGTCACACCAATACCAATACCATACATGTACATGGTTGGGNTAGCGTATCTTATTTTATGTTATGTTAAGTTGTGTTATGCCGTGTTATGTTATGTCATGTTATGCTATGTTATCTTATGTTATGTTAAGTTATATTATGTTGTGTTGAGTTGTGTTATGTGGTGTTGTTATGTTATTTTATGTTATATTCTGCTATGGTGTGAAACGTATTTCACCTCAATTCAGCTCAATTAACTCAACTCGGCTCAGCTCAGCCCACCTCAGCTCCCCTTAATTTAAAAGGTTGAATTTCAACCGCTGGGCGAACACTAGTAAATATAAATCTCGTATACATATGAAAGTCCAAAAAGTCGTTCATTACAGCCTAAGCCACTAGCTGCCTAAAGTCCCCCACCAAACTGGTTATTTTAATATTCAAATTTTCCATAAAAATAAGTAAACAAATTTTTTCCAGTTCAAAAATTGTACCGCTGATTATGACACAAATTAAAGCCATTAAAAATAAACAAAGCAAACAGAGACAAAAACATGCAAAATAAGTGAACAACAAAAAAAAAAACAGTTAACAAAACAAAAACATACAGAGCACATGATAAACTGGCTTAGAGCAGACTGAAATGTTTGGATCACTACTACTCTGAATAGTTACTTAGTGGATGCATAGCATGGCTTGGAGATTGCTGGTTTCTACGCGCAGGCGTACAAGCGACGGCAGGCGAAAGAAACAAGCCAATCAAGAAACAAGTGGACCCAGTTCAAGTAGTCAAACCGCCAGCGAATGCTTATCACAGCGACCGGCTTACCATGCCATCGCAATGCAACGGTGCTGAAAGCAGAACAGCATAGCAATTATTAACGACGAGATGGCGCGCAAGTTGGACGTACAGGTGGCAGGTGGCGGTGGGCAGAAGGCAGCAGGCAGCAGGCAGTGGGTTGATAAGAAACCAGTAATCGCCGGCAAGGCACTTAGCAGTGCTGTGTGTGGTGCTGCATCGCAGCGAAGGGGGATGTGATGGTAGGTGAAACGAGCATGTAGCGTGCGCGGAACAGGCATGCCAAAGTTGTTGCCGCCTGATTACAGCGGCTGTTGTTATTGCTGGCTGGCTGGCTGGCTGGTATTTTGAGATGGCTCTTCGGAGAAGATGTTCTGTTTTGTTTTGCTTTAGTTTATTTTGCTTTCGGATTTGTTGTTATGTGAATGACAGTCGCTGCGATTAATCTCTGGCACTGACTTGTTACTCGACATTACAATGTTGTTGCGGTGTTGCATGTGTATGTAAATGTGCTTTGCAAGGACAACCATCACAATTAAAGTGCGATGAAGTGTAATAATGAGCGATGGATAGAGTCGTGCATGGTTGTTGATGGCCGTCTTGGCGCCAAGGGGATTAAGGGAATAGCAACCATTGCTACATATCATCAGTGTTTGGCAAAGGATACAAAGCTTCTGTCTCACTAAACTTCGGTTAAGGATTGAAAAGTTGTATGAAACAACTAGGCATACTCGTTCCCAGTGTTCTATTAATATGACCCGCAGAGAGTATTTCCTATTAGGGAACCTTGTTTATCTGGAGTCCGCACACCTTGTATATGCCAGATTTTATCGATAAAAAATCTATTACTATTTTCTAGGAATATTGTAGTTAAATTTACAAGTATTTAAACGTGTAATCGAATCGTAGCTTAACCTACGCTAATACTAGTGCAGATGACTCAGTTACCACTATCTCGATTAGATGCCTAAATTCAGACAAGATGGTCTAGGAAATATTCGGCACTATTCCTAATTTCATTGGAACAATTATTCGAATTTCCCCAATCTATTTTTGTTTTACCTGTAAAACTAAGGGAAAGATTTTTCACATCGATATCTCAAATAAGGTTAAATATGGGAAAGAGTTTAGGAAGGGCTGCTATATCTTATACGACTGCACGTTCGGTAAGACATGGGATCCACCCATCTGGCGTATTGATTTTAGTCACTAGGCACATTATGCTCTAATTAAGCTGAATTGAACAGCAGTAAACAGACGTACAAGCGATGGCAGGTTTGCGTATACCAAAGTCACCACGACACCCTCCCACAGTGGGACTAAAGAATATACCAAATCTCATCAGATCAGGCTAAATACTCTTCAGGTCATCATTTAAAATGAGTAACTGATGATAGGGAAGAAACCTTTGGCAGAGAAAACTTCCATTCAATGGCCATAACTATAATTTCTTTGCAGACGGATTTAAAATTAATGAAGGAATTAGGAATGCTGTGTTCTGTCCAGAGCTCGAATTTTAGCAAGCATATAAGCTCCCGAGGTCTATGGTACAATCATAAGTCATAGATCAATGGACGATTTTGATGATAAAAAAATATCGATTAGTCGATAAAGTGACTCAAACAATTGTTCACTTTTATAGGTTTTCTAAATATTCACAATATTTTTTAGGCAAATTTATTTTTTGTTACTTTTAGTCTGAATTTTAAGAACGCAGTTTGGTACACCATGCAATTTTAGTATAACAGATGTATGTTAGAAGCAGCTAGGGATTCGCGTTGATTTTTAATAACTTTTGTCCGGCCGTCTTTTGCAGATTTTTTCTTATAATTTGTAAAAATTTAAAATCAACCCGATTTTTTGCCGCTTGCTTTTTATTATACTAAAATTGTATGGGCTCTAAAACTGCATACCCTATAAAGTTTGAAACTTTTATTTACTACATGAATTTTATTAATGCATGGACAATCTTTTGTAGAAAAATAAATAAAAAACGCTGATGAAAAAGTTCGAAATTTTTAAGAAAATTTGTTGAATCTTTTTCAATTTTGTATAAAGTGTTAAACTTTTAATTACTATAGAGAAAAAAAATTAAAAAAATATTGAAAAACATTGTGAATATAAAAAAAAATCAATATTGGAACACTTGTTTGAATCACTGTACGTGTGTAAATGTAAAATATTACGGATTCGGTTTGGCGCGTAATTGGATAACTTTTTAAATTAGTACCACAAAATAATTATCGATTAATATGAATATATCGATAAATGTATCGACTTCGATAAATATATCGTTTATTTTTCGATAAATATGTGTCACAAAAAATTTATCTAAAATATTTCGTTAAAATATCGATAACAATAATGATATCGATAAATATGTTCATGTTCATTATTTATATTTTTCGATAAATTTATCGGAAATCATACTCAGATTGCGATAGTCCCGTATGCATATTTTCATTCATGATTCAATCTATAAACTTCGCGTAAATGTCACATTTGCATTCTTCTTCACGTTAATTTTAACTTGGTTCAGCTGATTTTTGTATGGCGTAGATGCCATAAATGGACCTAAGCGCTACTTTTCCAGAGCTGAAAGCCTTTACGCAGCCGCCCAAAGCCCATTTAGGCTCTTCTTCCTACATTCCTTAATTAATATTATAAAAATGTTTCTAATATAATTTCATCATCATTATTATTTTTTTAATCACACACGTACTCTTACCCCGTTAAATTTCATGCCAATAAGAAATCAAAATAAAATCGCTTACTTACATAATACGCCTTTACCTGCAATCGACTTGTTACAGACAGCTGTGGCTGGACACATAAATGTGGTTGACATCGAAGTCGTTTTGTTTTTTTTGTTGCCGTTTCAGTTACAGTTCCTGTTACTCTTGTTGTTGATGGTGCTATCGTTGGTCAGCAGTTGTGGAAACGGTTGCCAATAAACACATTTCGTCGCGTCAAACTCAGGCTGTACATATATTGGTTATTTCGTCGATATCGATTACTCGATTGCTCTGGATGTTCTTTGCTTTTGTTATTGTTGCTGTCGCGATCGCTTGTCTAGCTTGATGTTTATAAGTTGATATATCTGGAGTGTACTGATTCATGACAAAATCATAAGGAAATATTAATATTTTTTATGCACTTTTGCTTTCAATGCGATTTTACAGCACTTGCATATGGACCTGCGTCGGTACATATGTATGTATTTATGTATGTATGGGTGAATGTATATGTAGGCATACGTGCGTGAGTTGTATTTTAACATTTACGAATAAATTTAATTTCTATTTAGTAGTATTGGCACTTAAATTCACTGATGTGATTTGATTTAATTTAAAATCTCATCCGGCTGATTATTTTTTTTTAACAATTTTTTTTCGGTGTAGTATTTTGTCACTTTGAAGCGCGATTGTTTGCATTTACTTTGCTCACTTTTAGTATTGTGCGCCTATTGGTAAGCTCTCAATACGTTCAACTTTTCGACTTTTTGATGCAAGCAGTTGGTTTACTTTCAAATTTGTTGACAACATTTTATTTACATTTTTTTTCCAAGTGGGTCTAGTTTTTTTGTCGAAACTTTTGCATCGACAGTGCACTGCTATAAATTTAAGTTATATATATCCTGTGTATTTGTGTGAGTGTACCAAACCTGTGCACATATTAGCAGGAGCGCTGCGCAGTTAAGGCTGTTTTCCATTCGTTCAAAGCCAAGTCATAAAATCATTAGAATTTAAGAAATTTGAGTAATTGCCATTGCTTTATAGCTTTTCCTCTAAACCTCTAAATACCTAAAATTTAAGTCACTTTTGCAACCACATAAGTCGCTTACACCTGAAATCCCTCGCCGCGGTAGTTTTCATAGACTTTGAATGGCTTGGCGGAGACACATGCGCGCATGCGCACAAGCCTTCCAACAAGCGGCCAACAAAGCTTGCATTCACGCGCCATATTTGTTGCACAACGCAACGACAACTAACTACAGCCACCAGAAAGTGTTTCAAAACCAACAACAATAACAAGCAATTCCAACGGCTACATTGACGCTTTAAATCTTTTTTTTTTTTTTTTTGTTTTTATTGTTAACACAATTTTCGTGGTAGTTGTTTGTGTTTGTTACTGTTGCCGTTGCCGTGTGGTGAGTGTTGGCCGTTGCGTTGCTCTTTCTTGAGTCTTTCGGTGTAAGTATTTCATTTAATTTTCCTTATATATTTTTACCATTAATTTCCTTATTATTTTTATTTGATTACGCTTCGTGTGCATTTGCTTTTAATGCTTATTTCGCCAAAATATTTTTTATTTCCCACTTTTGGGCATGCATTTCAAGTACTTTTAGTATTGTATGCCCCCCTTTATTTGTGTAATGGTGAAGTTATTCATTTTTGAAGTGGGGGAGATGTGAGTAACGTAATGTAAGAGTTCAGCGGTGACTTGAACTTTTTCCAAACCTTAAAAAACATCAAAATCACAAATCAAACATGAAATAAACATTCATCATTTGTATAATCAAATGGTTGAACCGGCGTTAGCCATGACTTGTTGAGGGCAGTGACGCTTGTGACGATGACAATGAAAGGCTTAATGATATTGAGAAATACACATTGCCGGAGAGATGAGAATGAGTGATAAGCGATACTTGGGGAGCGTTGAAGTTAAACGTTCAAGAAGAAGACCTTCAGCATGTAATCGTAGCCGAATTTCATTAGAAGTGCCACAATAAAAATAAGGCAGAGACGTGCGATTCAAAGAACCAAACTTACATACATATGCACCCGAAAAAAAAAATCTTTTATGGATATGAATATGAATATGAATACGAATATGAATATGAATTTTAGTACAATTTCGAATACGAATATGAATATGAGTATGAATATGAATATGAGTATGAATATGAATATGAGTATAAATATTAATACGAGTATGAATATTAATATTAGTATGAATATCAATATGAATATGAATACGAATATGAATATGAGTATGAGTATGAATATGAATATGAATACGAATAAGAATATGAATATGAATACGAATACGAATATGAATATGAATATGAATATGAATATGATTATGAGTATGATTATGAATAAGAATATGAATATGAATATGAATACGAATATGAACACGAATATGAATATGAATTTTAGTACAATTTCCAATACGAGCATTAATATGAATACGAATACGAACAAACAATTACGAGTATAAGTATAAATACGAAGCAAAATACGAATGTGATTGCGATTACGTTTACGATTGCGAGAAAAAATACGAATACTACTATGAATAAAAATGCGAGTACGAATACGAATAGTAATACGAATACGAGTATGGATACAGCTGCGAATACGAAAAAAAAGGTCGAATATGAGTGCAAGTACTAATATGTATGTATATGAATACGAGTACAAATACGAATACGAATAGGTTTATAAGAATAAAATACAAAATTGTTTACATTTTTTGGTAATCAACTTTTTTTTTTAATATCATAAGATATAACAGATCTGTTTCAAAAAATTATAGGACGAATCTCTGAAAAGGGTATTCTGGGATTAGGCGCGATCGGGTGCAATTGGGCATTAATTAGTTGCAACTAGTCTCATACGCGTATTATTGGAGAAAAAATTCGTCTCGATTCATTTCTTACGGGTATAATTGGAGATCAATTAGTGCGGCCGGTTCATCTCTAACAGATACAATTAATATGTTTATGGGTGAACGTGGACAGTCACTATGACAGAAACGTATAGAATATACCTACAGTTATCTGCCAACGATTAAAATACTTAAATTTTATAATTTTCAATTGTGTTGACTCTTCGTAGAACGTCATTAAATTAGTAATTTATAATTATGCTGCAAGAATCTGCTCTGCATTTATATTTTGTGATCTGCAAACAGTTGTACGCCGAATTGTACAAACTTACTTATATTCCCATCATTGTTTATAATTTTTCGTCATTCGTTTTTTTTTTGCATAATCATATTTTCGCCGTTTCTTTTAGCCCTGCTAATTTGTATTATTATTCCATTCTTTCACAGTAAAAACCGGTAGCTAGTAAACCACATAGATGTCTTAGCTCCATGGTGTATGAGTGGTTGTTGCTTTATTGCAAATTTCTTGGCTTTGTCGGTGTTTTGTTTCTTGCCAGCAGTTTTTGTTGTTGGGAATTGTTGTGCTAATTTTATGAAATTACCAAATTTTTCATTAATGTTTATTTACTTAATTTTTTTTACTTTTTTAATAAAAGTGTTATAATATTTTAATTTCTGCAAATGTTGTCATCGCAACTCGTGACTAATAATAAATTTTGATTATTAATTTGAAGAAATACATCAAATAATATTTATTTGACAAACGTAAATTGAAGGCACAAAAAAGCATTACATAATTCATAGAAAATTAATAATTTCGGATATACTAAGTAGTAATTTGTGAATTTGGCTGAATTTTGAATAAGAGTATCATGTAGGGGGAGTTCTATCCGGATTTTGCGTATTTAACATATCCGAATAATGCATATTTAACATACTGCAAATTTAACTTATTTTTAGTTTCGGATACCAAAAATTCATAGTTTTTTAAAATGTGGTCTTTAAAACTTTAAACAAAAAAACGATAACTCTTGAAATTAATTTTGAAGGCGATAAAAATATGAAAAGGTTTATGATTTGTTGGGTTATTCGATAGCTTTCGATCTTGTTTTCGTGTTAAGTGTTAACCACAGGTGGGCGTTGACGCCTGCTCCCTGCAGTTCTCGCCAACTCGTCAGCGATTCAGTTCTACGCACTGAGGCGTTGTACCTATATGAACACAAATCTAAGTAGAAAATATTTCGATGCAATTTAAAAGCAGTTCAGGCACTCCCATATCAGTTTTGATTGGACCATCAGTGAGTTTAGGGTCCTAATTGTCGCTTGGCTTTCAGTACAGCTGCTGGCATCTCTTATACACGTCACACTCCTGAGCAGTGTACCTACTACTTTTTTGGGGTATGTTTCAACAGGCCATTTAGCACAGGCAATTAAGCTTTAAATTGTGGAATTTAGTTTGGTGTTCACACACACGTCAACTGCGTAATTAGCGATACGAAATCAGTTGCTAGATTACCTACAGTAAATTAGGTACATTTTTATAATTATTTTTTCCATCCCTAATGGAATATCAGCTGTAAAAGAAACCCAGAAATAAACAGCTGATGGCTCTTTGTTCAATAAACGTACCTCAAAGTCAAAATTACACATACTTAGCAGGGTTGCATAGAGAATATGACAAGTAATTAATAATTTGAATTTTTGTATAATAAATTGGGTAACAATTAAGGCTTAAATTGGTGAAAAGGTTCTCAATTGCCAATTAGTCTTAACAGCAGCCACTTTTGTCTGAAGAATGGAAGCCTAAACTTGATGTTGATGGTTAGCTCTGGCTGAATAAACCGATAACCTTGCCATGAAGCTTCGACCCATTTGTGAAAAAGTCCACTGATCCCACCGTCCCCGTCCATCCAATTATCGTTTGAGGGAATGTGTGTTCGGAGCCGTTTCAGAGACGCAGTGATCCAAGCATTTTTAGAGCGTCCACATTCTAGGCTTGTTACGCAGGTGGTTTCTCTGAGCCTGATTACAATCCAGGCTGTTTTGTCTCCAATTTGAACAACTGCTATGCCTTTAAGTCTCTTTTCAATTGCCATTTATTTAAAAGGGAAACATTTTATTTTCCAGATTTTTTGTCATTTCAATGCTTAGTGTAACTTGGGCATTACGTTCAGCAAGGCGTTAAACACCTGAGTGGGAGTGTTAAAGCTTAAACAGACGGCAACGTTGATCCGGATTAACTCTGACTTAATCCGGTTCAACTGCAGTTAATTCCCGAGTTGATCCGGATCAACGTATCACTAACTCCAATGGAGGCAAAAAAGCAGGTTTCTGTTGTTTTGAATTTCTTGCTTTTTATTGCTAAATGGATAATCGATAGTTGTGCTGAATTTCCGCCAGGCAGGAAATTCGGCATTAGGGTTTACATAAATTTTTGGAAAATGGGCGTAGCCACGCCCACTTATGGTTACATGTGTATATCTTGGTAACCGCTGCACCAATTTCTTCCAAACTTGGCACAGTTGGCCTTAGTACAGCATACTAAATGGCCGAAAATTAAAAAAAATCGGACAATAACCACGCCCACATCCCATATAACGGTAATTTAGAGAAATACAAAATTGTCGATAAATCAGTAAATATTAAATCTAGTTTATTCAAAATTGATGCTTGCAACAATTCTTTACCAAGAAATACGTTTATGGTAAAATTTTGGAAAATGGGCGTGGCACCGCCCACTTATGATCACATATATGTATATCGGTAACCGTTCTACCAATTTGTACCAAACTCGGTGTGGTTATTCCGCTTGCCACATAAAAGCAAAACGTTGAAAATTATTGAAACCTGACTAAAATTACGGTCGCTTTTCATATAACGGTAAATTTCAGAAATGCTTGAAACTGGAATACTTCCAAATTTAAGGACGGTAATTTACTCAAAATTGATACACCCCGGCTTACCATCTAGCGGTAGCTTTCGGAAAGGTGAAAAAAATATATTTAATACTTGCGCCGGGTATTTAATGTTCGGCTCCGCCCGAACTTAGACTTTCTTACTTGTTTTTTTTTTTTAATCGGAAGTTTGCGTGTATGAATTTATTTTGTGCATAAAACCAAACAAGGGTGCCCCATAATAAAAAATGTAGATGTTGATATTTTAAGGAACACCCTAATAATTATATTATATTTTTAATCATTTTACGAACTTTTTTTTGAGCATCAAACACAAGCTTGACTTTGTTAAAAAACCAAAAGGCTTCAATGACTTAAACACAAACTTAACGGTATAATCGCTGGGCCAAAAACACTTAATAAAAATTTACGTTTACGACAAATGAAATTTACCATTTAAATGACAATACATTAAAGAAAAAAGTAATGAATGAGAAAATTTCACACGAGCGTAATCAAAAGCTTAGGAATGTGGGAACCAAGTGAGGGAATTTTTTCATATTTTTTCTCAATTTTTTACTCTTTCTGCTTAACAAAAGATTGTTGATACATTTTTTTTTTTCATCGACTGCCAGCTAAGCTCGTAGAATCGCACAGAAGATGGTAAAATTTGGCGCTTAGTCAGCAGTTCATGGTATTTCTGAAATTTCTTTAACTTTTGGCGAGTCTCTCGAATTGTTAATGATTACATTTTTATAGACTTTGCTTTTCTCCATGCCTTTCGCTGGTTGTTCGTTTAGTTGTTTTATTTGATTTTTAATTTCGAATTGATTGTTTGTGATCGGAGTAGGAGAAAAAAGCGCGTCTTTGCTAATTAACACTTTTTCCCAGCAGCGCTCCAACAAATGCACACACACACACACAGATACACGCGCGCGCGCGCGCACACAGACAACTCCTATGGGGTTTACAAATATGTACGTAAAAACACGCATACGGGCAACATAAAAAATGCGCACACCTTCGCAAAAGGTTCGCATCAACAACTCACATCACTGCAACAGCACCAACACAACGATGTTGAAATTGACAGAGACGAGAAGCGCGCGCCGCGCGTCTTTTACACAAACCACTGTTGGCATTCCGTTGCTAGCGAATTTGCACTGCCGCGCACAATAACAACAACGACAACAATAGCGAGCAAAACGTTGTACACGGATACATTACTATTTAGACGTATGTATGTGCATATAAATTTTGTTATTTTTTCTTCTTGTATTTTTCTTTCGAATGTGTGGCAGCCACGCGCGCCTTCTGCAATGGGCTATCGGCTATCAAATCGATTGCGAATGCTTTATTTTAATTATACATTTTTTCTTTAAATCACAGTACACAGCTTGTTTTTAACACTTTGTGCAAATAATTTTCGCACAGCAGCAAATTTATGTAGGTATTTTATGCACATATTAACGCAGGTATTTTATTTTCATTTTATTTCGTTTGTTTTATTTTTTTCGCTGCTGGCAAATAGTAATCTTTTTTTTTTTTGGTATTTTTCACTTGTAGGACGCGCACAGCAGCGGCGCTCAAACGCGTGGCGTATTTTGCACAAAATTATTTAAGTTTTGTACATATATATTTTTATTTAAACAAAAATTCTTCTGCACCTTTTTCTTGGCTAAAACAAAAAATTTCGTCTCGAACTCGACTATTATTTTGTGTGCTGTGATGTGGAGTGTGTTGGAGTGGAGTGGTGGTGCGGTTGGTGCCCAAAAGGTGTACAAACCACAAACGAGCGAATGAGGCAACAAACGAGCGAATGCGCGCTAGTGGACACGAAGCTAGCAAGAAAGCGGAGACAACACCAAAGCAGCGAGCCAACGAACTGCGAAACGACAAAAGCGATTGAGTGAGCGCATGAAAGTACATACATACATATTTCGATGGCTCACAACACAGCAGAGTCCACCACATGCATACATATGTAAATAGATGCAAGCTATGATGGCGCTGGTAATCTCAGTACGCGCGCGCCTTACTCAGCAATGATCGACAGTACCAAAAAATGCCTTGGCATTACATACCCACCTTAGCTACCTGTGCCGCGCACCGCTACTTACTTACCTGTGTACGTAGTATACCCACAAGCTACTACAAGTGTACGAATGAGATGAAGAACGGCTGAGCGCTTAAAAAGGGAGAGAGCGCGCGCGCGTGCGCTTGTGTGCGCGCACGAAATGAGCATTCAAACACCTGTAGAGGTGTACTATTTCAAACTGGTGGTGTGGGTGCGTGAGAGCCTTTGCATGCCTTGTGGAAGGTATCTCAAAAGGTAAATTGCTTTTTATGGTGTCATCTCTGTGCCGCACACAAGCGCATGCTGCTCAGGCACACACATACAAAAGGAGGCGCGCATAAGCACATGAATTCGCTGCTGCTCTTTTCGTTTATTATGTCGCTTTGTATGCTTGCATCAGTGTATTCATGTGTATGTGTGTGTGTGTGTAATAAAATCATCGATTGTTTTTATTGCGCCTTTGTGTATGCGCAGAGGTATGTTTTTTTATTTCACATGGAATTATTGCAGTTGAATAGTGGAAGCGGTGCGCGGTGTTGACGGCTAGGCCGCGGTGGTAGTGGCTAGCGCGCGCGCGCAACAGGCGGCCTCCTAGCGCTTACATGTTTGTGTAAATGAGCGTGCCAGCCAAACGAAAGATTCAAGCCACAAACGCGCTGTGGCTTTGGTCCCTCAATCGGTTGATTGCTTCGTTTGTTCGGGTGCTGGGTTATTGAGTTGTGCGCGCACAGTGGATGACGGCTGCATGCAATTTTGTTGACCTAAAGACTTTTAATGCCTATGTACGACTTAAGCCAAAATTCGCTGAAATTGTTTGAGCGAAATCCCAGAAACAGCGAAAATTTTTGAAAAACACAAATGAAAAATCCTTCTGAAACTTCCAGAGGGATTGAAGAAAGGTTTTCAAAATCCGAAGTATAATAATTAATTTTTTATCGCCACGAAAATCTTGAAAAAATACAGTTGAAATTTTTAACGACTTCGGGAAAGATTTGAAAAGTTTCAAAAATTAAAAATTCATTTTTTACCAAACGAAAATTTCCTAGCTCAGTAAAAGTCCCTGAATCCCGAAAAATTCTTGAGAAGTCGTAAAACGCCCGAAAGATAAAAAAAAATCCCGCTACAGTCCAAGAAAGTCCCAAAGACTACAAACTAAAATTTTGAGAAAATCCAAAAATTACATATAGTTTATATCAACACGAAATTTCTAGATAGTCCCAAAACTGCCAATAAAAATACTGGAAAATCGTAAAAATAACAAAAAGTTCGAAAAGTCGTAAAAACGAAAAATCTCTCATCATTTTTTAAACACAAAAAGCCTGAAGTAAACCCGATAAAAAAGGGTCTCGAGAATATTGAAATTTTTTTTAAACTCTTAAAAACGAAATCGAAAAAAAAAATCACGTTAGAAATTCCTAGACAGTACCAAAAAAAGTTTCGAAAAATCGTTAAAACCGATAACCCCAGAACCCTTTTTTATAAACACAAAAATTCCGCTGGAATCCAGATAAAATTCCTCAAGAATGCAAAAATTCTTTCGAAAAGCTAAAAAAACGATAACTCAGGAATATTTTTTTATCGACACAAAAAATCCCATTAAAATTTCTAGACAGTCCCAAAAACTTCTAGAAACATTTAAAAAATAATTTTTTATAAACACAAAAATATTAAGGAATTCTGATAAAATTCCCTGAGAATCACAAAATAAAATTCCTTGAGAATCACAAAATTTTTTCGAAAAATCTTAAAAATGCGACAAATTACGAACTATTTTTTATCAATACGTAAAATCCTGTTAAAATTTTTACAGTTCCAAACCTCAAAAAAAAAAAATCCGAATAATCGTAAAAATACCGTAATAATCTTTCAAAAAGTCATAAAATGCCGAAAAAATTACGAATCATTTTTTCATAAACACGAAAATCCCGAAGGAGTCAGAAGGACAAATTCCTCAAGAATACCAAAATTTTTTTCAAAAAGTAGTAAAAAAGCAAGAAATTACGAATCACTTTTTTATCAACGCGAAAAAATGCGAAGAGAAACCCAAAGATCTCAAAAAATAAAAACTCGTAAAGTCGCCCAAAAAATAAAACGCAAACTGGATTGAAGTCGAATTTGCAAAATTGAATGAAAAACAGTGCAGAAGAGAATCACAAGTTTTAGGCTTTTTCTCTCAGACTCGACATTATTTAACGAATTTCGAGTATTTTCTCAAAAGTTTTCAAAATCTTCCGAAATTATAATAAATGTGAACATAAATTTTCTTTTTTTAAGTTCTAATTCCGCCAATATCAAAGCAAAACTAATAAAAGTTTAGTACTTAAAATTCATTAATTTCCTTAGCATATTTTCTCAACCCGGCCCACAGTACTTCTTCAAGATATAATAACAATCCCAGCACTCCCTCAAATTTTAACTTCGCTCAACTAACAAAAGTACCGACATTCAATTTCAAATTCGATTCATATCGAAACGCTTTGGTGATGGCAGCGCAGCAGCGTCAGCAGCGTTAGCACTGCATACATAGGTATGCATTCATGCAAGTATATACATATGTATGTGCATAGGTGCGTACTGCGCTGGTGTAGATGATAATCCAATATTTACTAACAGTCAGCAACAACATCAAAAAAAAAGTGTAAATTTTATTGCAACGCAACGATCCTATGGTGATCACGTACATTTGCACATTAGGCATAGGACTTTTTTCAATTGAACCACGGCTTTGTCAAAATTTGTTAAGAAAAATTTTTGGTGGAAATTCCGGAAAAAATCGTGCTGGAAAATATTTCATGTCAACCGACTTACATATGACTACGATCAAAAATTGGTCTCTAAATTTTTTTTTATTATTCTGTCAACTTTGATTATCCATATACATATTATGGGATTTTTAAGTACCACATATTTATGTATGAAAATTCCCCTTTTTTCAATACAAAGTTTTTTTAACTAAATTTTGAAAAAAACTTTTATTTTTTGGCTTTTCGTCATTCCTCTTCCTCTCTTCTTAGATATATTTAATTTTAGAAAAAAGTCATACACCTAATGTACATACATACATGCATACACGCATAAGTAGTAAGTGTGCGCTAGAAATCTAAATGCGTGTATGTGCGTGTTGTTAGGGATAGTAAGCCTAAGTGTTGTAGTTAAAAAGTCAGTGAAAAAATTGTTGTTGCTTACAACTAATAATGACTACAGTGGCGATTCAAGAGAAACTTGCGTAGGGCGCGAAAGATTTGCATTCATGTCGATCTGACCCCCGTAATCTACTTTCGGCAAGGTGACCTCTTTGTTTACCTATGCTTATCCAAATGATCTTTGTCAATAAACTAAGAAATGCAAACGTTGTAACGAGGTTCTTACAAATTCAAATCTACAAGTCTACAATAAAAACATTGATGGCTTTTATAGGTCTTTGGAATGTATTTTCGAGACTTTGAAGGAGACAGATCTGCGAAAACCTGGGTGCGAATCGCGGCATTCGATATCGAACATTCTTAGTATGTAGCTCGAATCGAAACTTAAATGTTGAAATCACGGCATACGATAACGAATGAGATTGCTTAATTCAGCTTGTATAGGGGATAAAATAACTATAATTTTATTCCATTTAATTCAAAACGAGTGATCATTCATAACGAATGACGCGATCCAGCTTTGGTTTAGCTCTGCATGAGAACAAAATGTAATGTCAAGAATGTTCCCGCAAAAGAACCAACCGGGAACAAAATTAAGTCAAAATGTTCGGGAACATTTCCGTAAAGAACAAAATGCGAACAAAACTCTCAAAAACGCTCGCAAGAAGAATATAATGAAAACGAAACTTTCGTGAACGTGTCCAATGAGAACCAAATGAGAACGAAAGTATCGAGAACGTTTTCAGGGAGGGTCTAATAGGAACAAAAGTCTGGGGAACGTTCTGCTACAGAACAAAAGTTTCGAAAACTTAACGTTAAGAATGAGAGCGGCGTCTGCGTATTGGTATGAAAAATCATTTCAGTGAGAACCACGATCATTTCCACTTCCAGATCGTTTTTCATTGGGATGAACTGTACATTTTTGGAACAATTTTTCATTTGCTGTGTAAGAAAAGTTCGTGTCTTAAGTCTTTCGTTGACTTATTTGCATAATTATATTTCAGTTGCTTTTTAATTAATTTGAATATGCTTCGCTTCCATTCTTCGCAAATAGTTGTTCCCGATTTGTTCTCTATCAGAAAGTTCCTGAGACTTTAGTTCCCAAATTTTCATTCGTGAGAAAGTTCCTTAAACTTTTGTTCGCGTTAAGTTCTTTACCAAAACGTTCCGGAAACTTTTGTTCCCATTTTGTTATCTTTGAAATGTTCCTGAAGGTATTGTTCGCGATTTGTTCTCTTTGGGAACGTTCCACAGAGTTTTCTTCTTATATAATTTCCATTGAGAACTTTCTCGACACTTTCGTTCTCATGATGGTTTTGGTTTTGAAGCATTCTTGGAAGCAAAACTACGAAAACGACATTTGGTTTCGATAAAATCTTTTGTTCTCGGTCCCTGAAAAGTTACACAATTTTTGGGTATGCAATTTTTTGGTAGCACACTCACCTTTATATAGTAAAGTGCAAGTTTGACGTGGCTACAAACTACGATTGATTTTTGGTGTTTCGTACTGTTTTCCATTAAAAAAGTTCGCATTTTCTTCCTAATAAAACCAAT